ATATATGAAATATACCTATACGCATGTCTTTGGGAGTATTATCATTAAAATGTAAGTGTTTCAACCAATTAAAATACAATTTTCTATTTATAAACTTAAACACCTCGTCGGTTCTTGAACAACTTTAACATTAAATAATTAGTATTTTCCGTAGGTACGTATTATATGAACGAGAAGCAATCGATTGGTCCAAGTCGTAGTAGAGTACAAATAAATCTAAATGCCTATAATCGAAGTGTGGTAGTATACCGTTGGCCAGCTGTTGATACTGTTCAAGTAATAAAAATTAAATTGTTTTCTAAACTATTTCGTATTTCATTTGCAAACAGTACGTATGCCATCGAGAGTATAAAATAATAAAAAAAATGTTACGTATTTGCGTCATAAAATATCGCCGATGGAAACATTAGGCTCCGAGATTCGAATGTAAGCCTTATTATATGCATAGCTACTCTTTAAACGAATCAATAAAAGTATTCGAAAGCGCAGAAAACCAGGCCCTAATTATATATACGTTTACGCGTTGAATCGGGTTTTGCACGACTATATATATATATATATGTATATATTATATTCAGATTTATCGGGTGTACAATAACGGTTACAAAAGAAGGATAAAATTTCTCACACACATCGAAACGACTCGGAAGAAAATCGATGGTTTGTCTGGCTTGATGTTTGAATACTCAAAGGCTTAAACATAGTTGGCGGTAGTAGTAAGTTGTAATGTCCTGCACGCACGAGGACTACGCCTTGATCGGAATGTCTGTTGCACCGACGCATGTGTCTCCAAGTGGTCCAAATTCATGTCTTACTCATATTTAGATACTCATTAAAATCACCCATGGCACATAATAGCATAAAAATTATCCTTATACATTAAAATCGAAAAAAAATTGTTGTATTTTGTTTACTTTAATAATCTATATAATATAAGAGACTACAATACTATGCTTTATTAATGATCATCAACATTCAACATTAATAATAATAATAATCTTATTTTATAATATAGTTATTAAATTAAAATAATAAAATAAATATATGTAACACCCCGAAGAGTATAGTACTGAAATACTAAAATTGTATCTTTAAATTAACACATGAAGATAATAACAGAAAAAACTGAGAACAAATTAAACATCAATATTCAAATTATAAATACAATGTTTTTGCTTAGAACAGCTAGTAATCGAAAAAAAGTCAAGTTATTATATAGAATTTTATTAGGTGCAAGTTGTTGGTAGACACACCGGATTATTTGTGAAGAAGTTGTTTTTAGAATGAGGTATTGCAAAAGGTGGGTTAATTTTGGAGTTAAAAGAGGGTACTTTAAGACCAATTTTATGTAATAACTCAGGACAGTCGATAATACCGTTCAGGATTTTATGCATAAATGTGACATCAAACCCGTCTTAATTTTAAAGCAAAGTTCGTAATATCATCAGTTTTGTGAAAAGGATAATTGGTTATAAGCATAAAAACGCAAACAATTTTTTTGAATCTTTTCTAATTAAATAATTGAACCAGAGTGATTAGGATTCATCGGAATCACGGACATATACTGTTTAATCAAACAAATTATTTTCTGAATGACGCACCTACCTATATAACTACATTTGCACATAAAATGTAAGATAATATATTTAGACAATATTAAAATATGGTAATTTAATTTCGTAAACGGTTTCTTATAAGCGTTAAACACACCTTTCTTACTCAGGTAACATGTTAAACTAATTACTTTTATAAACTTAAGTACAATAAAATTACTAAATTAATTTGTATTCATGAAACTTATTCAGTTAGGTCTACTCGTTGAGGCTGTATACAAAAAACATCGTGAAAGTGATTCAATATTTCAAAAAGTATCACGTTTATAAGTTTTTCCCACCCGGGTCACTGAAATTAGTCTGATGCAGAGTAGTTTTAAACTTATTTATGTATTCACAACTTTTGGCCAAATCAAATTATTTAGCAAATGAAGAAAACTCGAATATTGAATATTTGTTTTTGTTACTTTCGTTTTTTTAAAAGAAGTTTCTTCGAAATATTTTAATCCTTTTCTTTTATACGATTTTTATTTTATTTTTACTCGAAAAACGAGTCATTTCATTATTAATAATGATAATATTTTACTGAATGATTTGTTAATATTGACGAGTTTTATTTTCATTTAATCAGTAAGGTTATTAGTGAAATCACATACTGGACACACTTTGATATACTGAGCTATTATAATACTACTAATTACATGTAATGATTTTATATCATTCTGGAACAAAATATTGTTCCTTTATCTTAACTAATTTATTTAACACATTAGTTTACAAAGATTATAGGTTTTACCTTTTGAGTTTAATTTTTTTTTTTAAATGAAACAATATTAATAATACTAATTATGTATTTATTTTTGGAATAGGATAAAATAAAATATAATATATTTATAACACAAAGTTCAGCAACAAAACTTACTAAACCAAAAAGCAGAACTTGTAACCGGTAAAATAAGTTCAATATCCAGTAATAGACAGCATCAAAACAATAAACAGAAAAAGTCAATTTTTAATGTACATACTTCTATCAAAACAATCGAATCTACTCAAAAAAAGAAAATTATAGGTAGAACTTACATGTAAAATTTAAAAAAAAAAAAAGAGTACCTATACAGTTGGGTCATTTAGAATAAATGCTGTCTATACTTCATGTTCTTAACTAACTATTACTGCCAACTGGTACTATACAGAATATACGTATTAGCCATTAGGACATTTACCTATGGATTTATATTATACTATACAGGACGAATGACAAATGATACACCAAAAGTTCTAATAAGCCACTTATAAGAAATGAAATATTTTTTATTTAAGCCACTGCCACTGAAACAGTAAATAATGTGATGGAATAATAAATCGGAGTTCATAATATAGGCATAGCTGCTTATTAAAACAAAAATTATAAATTAAATTCAAAGTTTTATAACGCAAGTTATTATTTTTTTTACAACCAACAATACAGATACTAAAAAATGAAAAATCTTATTTCCGTGTTGAATTATTGTCGTGTCGACTCCACGTAATCAGTTGGGGTGCGATGAGAAATGTACTGAATTATAAACATCAATACGACTATGCATTAAACATAAATAGGTACTCTGAACAATAAAAAATAAATAAAATAATCAATTATTGTTTTATTTTTTGAATTAGTGCAGCGAGGTGCAGAGGGGGTAGGATAAATATACTTAAAATAATATATCTTGCAACACCATTATATTTTTCAGTGAAATGTCTGTACAGAAACGAAGTGTCACTAATCAAACTATAAATATAATATTGATGACGCGAAATCGCAATAAACATAAATCCCAAATCAAAAAAAAACTTCTTTACTTGAATAAACCCAAACCCGAAACACATCGATTACAAGTCCTGGTTTTTATCGTTGTTTAACATGCATGTAACGTTGTGGTATATTGAAATACAATAATTATTTAGCATTGCGCCCATTGTTTGTGAGTTTTTACAATCTCATATTTATAAAAAAAAAAAATAATAATAATAATAACATATAATTTTGTTTTTATAGATACCTACACCAAATAATCGAAGAATGATTTTTACACTCCCTCTCGAACATCGTTTTTTTTTTTTTGAGACTCACCCGCCTGTGCCTTCTGAGATTTTAAGTTTAAGTTCGATCGGCCGACGGCGAGTATTTCGCAAACGATCGCGAATCGGTGCAATAATTTCGTCATTATTTCGCGAACTCCCGACGATGTGTAACACACCGCATAGAATTCAATTGGCAACAAATCGGCGGCGGCGGCAGTAATTGTTTCATGGACCGCGAACACGTATTGGCGGGCGGGCGGCGGCTAGGACGTGTGTCTATATGGCCACCGGTCGCGGTATATCGTGTGTTTTATACCACGCTCGTACGTGCCGGCGGCGATGGTGATCATAATAATAATATATTAATAATATTATCGTCGTATACGATTTCGGTCCCGAATATATATATATATATATATGTATTTGGCGGAAATTCGCCCGTCTTCCTTGGCCGACTTGACGACGACGAAATAATAATAATAATAAAAAAAAAAACCGACCGACGATGTGAAATCGTAAGCGAAAAAGAGTGCTAAGAGAACAAAAAAGAAAAAAAGAAAAAAATCCTCCCGAGAACAACACGCTGCAGCAATATTGCATTATACTCATATGTAAGGGTGTCTATGTGTGTGTGTGCGTGTGTGTGTGCGCGTGTGTGTTCCTTCGTTTCCGCACGACGAAAAAGCAATAATGATAAATTCAAAAGCGAACGCGGTGGTGGTGGGAGGAGCGCCAACCAGATATGTAATATCGCGTTTTCCGCTATTCTCCGATATTTTCTCCTACACATAATATATTTATATACATACGATAAATATATTATTATACAGATGTTTGTGTGCACAGTCGAAATATGAGCTACGATACAGTAACTATACATAAGTATGTATATACATTATGTGTGTGTGTGTGTGTGTGTGTGTGTGTGTGTGTGTATAACCACTTTGGGATACGCCACCGCGAAATACCGACCTAGTTTTCCGGCTTTAGACATTTCCGTCGATTAATTAGTCTGCAATATAATAATATTGTATTATACAACTACATACAATGTTATACAGTCGACAGCCGCAATCACGATTTGATAAATCGTTTATCGTGCTGGTCTCCACGAATAATGTGATGCGTTTCAATATAATATAATATAATAATATTAGTTTCATCGGCCACGCGACAGATGATGTTTGTACGTTTTAGGGATACTGAGGGGGCTTATTTTTTTTACGAATACTCAAGAGGCAAAGAGGATCGCTCTTTTAAAATGTGTCTTATATATGTATATTATAATAATATACGTAGTAATAGATTACTTAAAAATAAACGTCTACATAATATAATATTATACCTATTAATATGGTCGCGTTAAAGTCATTTAAAAATTACCTGTGTTAGTATCTCTTGATGGGTAGCTGAGCATATGAAGCGGACAGTATTCTTACCTGAAAAATAAAAACAACATTAAATTATGCGTTAAATCGTCGTCTAGATGAAATTGTAATATCATGTTTTATATTAATCATGTGCTAAAATGTGTACAAGAGTTGCACATATTCTTGACTGAACGTCACCATATTTAAAAAAAATGCACTATATTGCACTGATCACGTGAAAGTGTATGTGATTTCATTATAGTTTTATCCGTGATGAGTTCTTATCGTGAGTTCAGGCGACAAGAAGAAGTCAGGAACTCTTTTTTGTGGGTGTTATAAATACGCTCGGATGAAGAGAAATCATTCAACGTATTAGGTTTAAATTAGAATAAAAAAAAAAATTTCAATTAAAATTAATTTATCACCTATTGTTATTATACAAAGATAGAAGAAAGAAAAATTTAAAATTATCAGACTTGTTGTGTGAACAACTATGGTGGTACTTAAAAATACATAAAAATTATATCATAATTTTGTTTTAATAATTCACAACTGATAAACAATAAAACAACGATTGACAGACACGACAACTCAATATTTTTCCTTAGCCGACGGCGGTTGTAAACAAAATTAATTAATTATTTTTCAACAATGTAAATAATCCAACATGTTTCACTCATAACATAACAATAATATTACAAACCAATGAGTATTGAGTAGTCATTCAGCAAACTGGCAATGACAATAATATAACAATAATCAAATTAATAGCAATCAGGCAAGTCCATATATTATACTGAAATATTGTTCAAGGCGACCATTTACAAATTCGTTATCCCGTTTATTGCCACAGAAAATAATTAACGAAATGCATGATAATTCATAAAAAAATAATCAGATTTATATGATTGTTGTATCAATATAAAGGTATATTTTATCCATGAAATGGTTTCATGGAGTCAATTTTAGAAATATTGTGATACCCGCAGGGTCACACAAATTTAAAATTTTTGGCTTACCATACACAGAAATTTCACTTAAAAGAAAAACCCGTTAGTTACATATTGTAAATATTATTCAGTACAAACAACACTTTATAATTGGAATATATTACTGAAGGATTTTTGTTCGGTACTATAGATACCTTAACAGTATAAGTAATAAATTAGACATATCAAACATTGAATCTAAATTTTTAATTATCTAGAATATTACTCGAATGTACTCGATTACTTCGATTTTATGGTAAATAATTGAAACATTATAAACAGGAAAACGAGATCAATAAACATGAAGTAATTTAATTAACGCTAGCTACTGGTGAAAAGCTTGGGCATAATTTCCTTAAATTTCTGATTTGTGAATATTTGTTTGTTTCGAGAATGATGGCTGAATCAAGGTTTAAATACAGCCGATTATATTGTTCATAGTTTTTTGATAGAGGTACCCTAATAGATAACCAAGATTTGATGTATGCATTTTCCCTTGGTCTGTAGTAATAAGTATGATATGTATCCTACGTATATATTTTATACACGTTTCGAGTGTTTCAACGTCGAAGAACTCATAGTAAAGTTCATAAGACAATTGAAATCCACCATAGCAATATGTATCGAAATAGTATAAAGTTATTTATCTGTAAGCTAAGCTCTTTGAAGAGGTCTTATAAACACGTGCGTGAAGTTGCCCTCTCCCCCACTTTAACCCCGGAACTTCAAATCACTTTAGAAAAATTGCTACTCATTTGCTAGAAATTGTTATGGAGTTTTTAGAATTTGCATGGTTTTGATTTCCCCAGAAAACAATTTTTTACTTGGGCGGGCCAACCTGACCTTAGCCGGGGCATTTTAATCCAGGAACTTAGAACTTGCATGGCCCATCTTTATTCACCTACGCATTCGAACCTGGTATCAAACATTTATATTCAACTAGGATTTTAAATTAAGAATATTTATTATTCATTTTAGATTTTTTTTTAATTATTGATTTTTATTATTACATCTTTTATTAGTTTAAGTTAATTTATAAATATACATTTTTTTTTATTAATTTATGCATTTAATCTAATTAAGAATATTTTCATTCAATTTAGATTTTTATATAAATTAGATTTTTTATTAGTACCTATTATATTTTTTAATATTTTAGGCTTTTTATTTAATTTAGAATATTCTTTATTAATTTTAGATTAGATTAGATTTTAGATTTATCTAAATTGGTTTGAAGTTCTCGGGTTGAAGTGGGAGGGGGGGGAACAACTTCATGCACGTATAATAAACTAGAACAGTGATTTATTTGTGTTTAGTAGTAAAAAAAAAAATAATAATAACGATATTAGACGTTAATATATTATTGTTATTTTCGTAATAGCACAATTTCGTAGTTGGAATAATTGAACGGAAACTCTGTCAGATGAACCTCGAGAAACTAACAAATCGTGTAATAGCAACCGGAGATTAACCGAAGAATATAATATACATGTATATATTATATAAATGGAGAAAATCAGAGGGTCTCTATTATAGACAAGACAAAACGTCGGTGGCTCAGGGGGGGGGGCAAACTAGGACAACTCCGGACAAAAGCGCGTCACGTGAACATGGTCGTGTTTCGGATCACTTCCCGCCATGTACATGCACCGCGGACGGAGCGGACACAAATGAGAAGATCCCAGTGTAGTTCAAGTTCCGAGTAAACAGCGTCAGTGTCCCATGAGACCGAGTTATTTAGCGACCATAAAAATAAAGCAAAACAACCCTTCCTCGCCTGTCCCCGTCGCAGCGGTCGGTTGTGTGTCGTTTCTCCGCTGTAGCGGATCTTCCGAGTCGCGTAATATCGAAGTAATGCAAATTCGAATTTTTTTTACCTGGACAAGAGAGAGACTATAATTTGTGCTCGGAGAAAAAGTCATTCAATCACGTTTAAAAGGGTACGCGGGAACAATTCGGATGCGATAAAAAAATAAGTCCCTCGATCGTTGAACATCGGATCTATATAATATACAACCAGAGTTTGACTTAAATTATTACGCTGTTCCAAATCAATTTAACTTAATTAAAACACAAAGATAGCAATAATACGTGTAATAAGTACAATACTATTATACGATAGCTAAATAGTTATCAAGTACCTATGACAATAATAATGATATTGTATATTTTTTTTTTTAATAATAAGCCTCGGCGTCTATAGCCATTGGCATCAATAATATTATAGTTTAATATTGAAAAATCTATGATTCAATAAGATCACGAAGAACAATTCTTTTCGATTTAAAATAGTGAGGAAAAGTGTAAATTACTTAAATAATACACACACACACACGTGTATAAAACGGATAGTTCTAACTTTGTTGACGTGCGAAGAAAAATGTTTCAGAAAAAGTGTAAAATGCGTTTTTTATTCATAAAATTTGTATATCATATAATTTAAATTGTTGTTGCAATAATAAATACAATACCTATACATATGTATATTTACTGTAATAAATTACATTACCGCGGACCTTGGAAAGGTTTCTTCGAAAAAGATTGTTTTTTACGTCGCGAGATGAAAAGTAGCGATAATTTATTGTGTGTATATCCGACAAAATAATAAACACAAATGTGATTTGATTTTGGTTTCTCTGTCTTTACTTCTGATTGTCAATATTTACTATAACGTGCAATTATTTGTCTAAAGGGAATTTTTATTAATTTAGATTAAACAGAAACATGCATTTTTTGTAAATTATATATACTAATGTGATGGTACGATCTTAATAGTTGTTGAATTCCCGAATAAACAAAGAAATTTGTCCAAATATTATTATTAATTATTATGTACACATAAATATGGGGTTACATAATAGGAGCAACGATTTATCTAATTACGGAGAGAACATACAGGCATACAGCTATATCATTTCTCACAATTACATAATTTATAGGTAGGTTAGGTAGATAGGTACCATTTATAATTATTAATGAAATATCACTGTAAAGTTGTGTGTACATAAAAGCAACGAAATTAAATTTCCAGAGATAAGCTAATGTAGAAAATTTGCTTACTATAACATGTGTGAATACATAATTCATTTCAATGTGATTTTTTACCGAAATTTTAATGTAAGTACCTACTTATAATTATTATTATCCTTAAATACCATACGGTACCATATATCCGCGATGGGTTTAACATTTTTTTTTGTGTGCAGCCATGTGTTACCAGCTAAAATTCACTATTTATGAGAGTTATGCATCGATGTAAACCATCATATTGTTTAGCGAAAATTACTAAGAGCGCGAAAAAGTCACTACAATATAAATGTTTGATGAGTACCTAGTATAAATTCCACATAATAATTCCGTGAATCAAAATCAACGCCCAATACTGAAAATTAATTTAATTTAAACATTAATTTTAAAATATTGATATTTTATTACTAATTATTAAATGTTAAAATAATTAGTTTATTCATATATCATACTATTTTTTAATAATTTTTAAAAATTGGAAAATATGAGTTTCTTCCTATCTACTAATAGGGTTAGGTTCATTCATGTGTCTAAATGACAGCCGCGCAAACACGTGGACAAATACTAAGTGTGAGATGTTCTATGAGACAACTTTTTTTATAAATTGAACACAAATAGATTAAAAACCAAAAAACTAATTTTTAAATATATTACAATATTATATTTAATATATTATTCAATTGTTAGGAGAATTCGTTTCTCTGGTTTTTGTATTTGTTTATTATCAAACGCGCACTTACACCTCAAACATTTTAAACGTGTTATTATCGCCACTGGTGTTTGACTTCTGATAATTATAACTTATAAGTCTTCAGTGCAATAGAGCAGACATTGCAGTATTGTTTTGCCTAATTGTGTTAGTTTTGAGATAATGAGATCATGATGTTAAAAACTTTACAATCCAATTTTTTTAGAAAAAGTACAATTGGAGTGAATACACGTTGCTTATGGCAATGGATCGATGACACATTCAACCGGCAAGTGCTTTTACTTTAAATTAAATGACAAGGATTAAGTATTAAAGTGCATTATACCTTTTATTTTAATTGTTGT